AATGTTTAAAATTTTAATAAAAAGATGATAACAGAGTTATATAGGTAGTCGAAGATCAAGCATCTAAACTCATCACCATATCGACCTAAAATGAATGACTCGGTCGAAGTAGCGAGATAAGAATATCAAGAAAATTATGCGAGAAAATGATAGTCACATATAAAGATTGGCATGAGATGATGTCATATGTTTTATATGCCTATCGCATAATTATAAGAACATCTATCGCAGCAACCCCATACTCTTTGATTTATGAGATGGAGGCGCCGATGCCTTCGAAGTGGAAATTCTTTCCGTAAAAGTGCTTATAGAGACCCAACTAAAGGAAGCTCGAATAGGCTAAAATCAAATATGACCGATTGAATATGATCGGTGAGAAGAGGTTGGCTGCAATCTATCACCCATAAATGTATTAGAAAAGGATGTCAAAGGCATATGATAAAAGGATGTAACCAAGAGAATTTCAAAAAAGAAATCGGTATTCAAAAAGATTCTACCGATATCGGAGAAGACAAAAGAAAATAGGCACTAAATTATGAAGGTCCTCATGTGGTAAAGAAAGCATTTTCAAGAGGAGCACTTATTTTGGTAAACACGGACGAGGGTAATGAAGGTAAACCTTTAAACTCTGATTTAATGAAGAAGTACTATGCTTGAAATATGTTATTTTCTTCTTTATGAGATTAATAACGAAATTGAAGCCAAATATATACATTGCATTCATTTTTCACTATACCTCCTTCATGTCACATTTTGGTCCATTACATACTATACTTTTATATATATATATATATCAACAAAAGTCAACTTTGAGTTTCGATAAACTTGAAAAAAAATCCAGTTTCACATCTTTTTAAAAATTCAAGATTTTCATATCTAGTTGAGTTTATTTTTTGATTAAAATTTGATAAGATAGCGCTTTAAAGGCGACACCTGACATCCTAAGCTGTCAAGCACTAGAAAAACAAAATATCGAATCGGGTGAAGGGAATAAATTCATCTCGTAAAAACTCAAAACTTATCCAGAAAATGCGAGATGTGATCATTCAACAAAAGCAGAACAAAAATGACAACAGAAACTTCTGTCCAATGAACCATCAATTCTCGCCTAAATTAATAAGGTGTCTTCTTGGTATCTCTTATAATAGTACATAGCGTGTGCGAATGGGAGAAGAATAAAGGATAAAAACAAAAACAAAGAGGCAGAACAGCCAAACATTCATTAAGGTATGTTTGGGTATCCCTCACTATATTGGTGGTTTAAGCTTTAGTTAGTGGAAAATCATGATGTTGGAGGGATTAAGTCAGTCTCTATGTAAAAGAAAAAGAAAATTTCGTATAAATAAGAGGGCATTCTAGAGGATTGAGGAGCAAAAAAATTATTATTTTTTTTTATATAGAAAATCAGAGGAAAATTGAGAGAAAACGGAAGGAAAAAAAAAAAAAAGAACCAAAAAATCACAACAGCCAAACACGCCCTTACCATTTAAACAAAACAGAGGTGAAACTTCAAAGCATTGCCGCTCACTGCCTAATCATATCCTCTGAACACGCATCGGACCATCTTGATCGTCTGGCTGAGACACTTCCAAAGCCACCAGACCGACTGCATTTCAAAGATGCCAGCGCACACGCCACACACGACAAATATGCCTCTTTAAATTTCAAATTTTTTTTATAGTCCCTATTGATTTCTAATTTCTAGATTGCATCTTTAATCATTTAATTTCAGCTAATTAAGTCTTTCTCCCTCTAATTATCCCTTAAATACTTCAATTATATATATTACTTAGCATGTATATATGTATTTTAGATGATTACGCCTGATTTTGATTTCTTTTAGAAGTTAACTAGTTTTTTTATCTACTCTACGCTACATGTCGAACAAAATACATAAAATTATTTTTAAAAAATTCTTTTATTTTAATATCTCGTGTTATATTATGTGTTTATCAAAATTAAATAAAAATTCATTCAATTTTATAATTTTTTTAGTCAAAATTTAATATTTGACTGATTATTCTTTATATTTTCATAAATTTTTTATTTAAAAAATATTATTTATTTATCTCTATTCGCATTTTTAGCTAAAAAATTATTTTATAAATTATTTTTTAAAACATCTTTTTATCTTAAAATTTTTAATTAAAAAAATCAAAGAAAAAATAAAGACCAAAATGAACAAAATAAAAAAAAATCAAAATAAAAAAAATGTACATATTAAAAAATAATATTTAAAAAATAAAAATTAAAATATAATACCACGAAAACTTTCATTATAAATATTTTAAATTTTTTAAAAAATATATAAAAATACCATTGTATATATTGAAAGAAATAATGTATCCAAATTTAGACGAATAATACGAATGAATTATTTGAACAGGATTTCAAATATTTCAAATAATACAATAAATAATAATCAATAATTTTACTTTCAGTTTTTTGTTTTTTGAAATATTCAAAGCAAAGGAAACCTATTATTTTCACTCAACATCAACCTTTTTCCTTTTTTCCGACTTACCCAAATAAATATCCATGAAAGTATCAAAATATATATATCTCCAAGAATCAACTTAGCCCCAATTTAATCAAGACGGCAAGAGGATTGATTTCACAAAAATGTTAAAGCAACTTTTAATATTGAAAAGGTTAAAAACGAAGGGAAAAAAAAGTTTCTTAGCTTTGTGTGCCTTGTTCACACTCATAGTTGAAAGTGTAATAGGCTTTGCAGGATGACCTCATTCGCATTTACTTTTTGGGTCCATTACAATAAAGCAACAATATATGGTTTGATGGAAGGAAAAGACAACTTTATAGATCATCGTTATCATCCCCATAAATATATACATTGCACATCATAGAATTCTCTTTTTTTTATGCGGCATCAACTTTCCTTCTTCTGTTTTTTCAGAGACCCAAATCCATACATCCATCCATCACTGCACGTACAGGGCTGGATTAACACTGACCGTCAAAATATGGTCAAATCAACATCACCATAAAAGAGAAAAAAAGATATTGATAAAGGAACTCAAGCCACCCTCGCTTGGGACCATATCCATCTAAAGATCTCCCAAATTTCCTATCACTTGATTCTCTGTAAAATTTAGTAGCCGTTAGTTTCTTGTAAATGACGAAATTGGGTCTTAACCTCGATGTTGAGAAAAAAGGATCGGAGTTTTGTAATATTAGGAGGCCTATTAACTAATAAACTAAAGTAAACCATAAAATGAATAGTAATTACTATTTGAAATATTGTGTTTACTATTCATTTTAATATTTCAAAGTTACTTTCGTTGTTTATAGTTTATTTTACATTTTGATTCCTCATATTTTTGAATGCATAATTCGATATATATGTTCATTTACTTATTTATTTCAGTCCCTAGATGGAGAGAGAAGGCTGAGAGAAAGAGAAAGAAATCGTTAATCAAGCTTATTTAGGCACTCGATCGGTGAAAATCCATTATATCTTTTTATTTTTTAGAGATGAGTTTGTTTATGGTGGTTTTAAGTCATTAAACAATTAGATGAGGTAGATCGGAACCAAAAAAGAAAAAAAATCGATTTCATTTTATATTTTTCTTTGTTTTTGTGTATATTAAAATGATTTTTAAGGTTTTAGATGTGTTTATTAGCTTTATTCCGATCATTTAGATGTATTTGAAAAAAAATGATGTCGGAATTCAATTTCTAGAGGTCTGAAAGTTACAATTACAGGTTTTTTTTTTTTTTTTTTTTTTGCCTGTTGAGCCGCGGGCCTGCACGCTGGTCTGCATGCACAGCCCAAGCGAGATGGCCCTGTCTTTTTTTTTTTTTTTTTTTTATAGTGTGTGCAATCTGGTTGCATAATCCAACCAGGCGCTTGTCCTAGCTGGCTTGCAACCCCGTCACGCCTCTCTCTCTCTCTCTCTCTCTCTCTCTCTCTATATATATATATATATATATATATATATATGATTATATTACTTCTATTATTTAATTTCTTATTAAAATTCACATAAAAATAATTTTTTGATATAATTTTATTTATTAATAAATTTATTTTTTTAATATATAAATTTTAAAATTAAATTTTAAATATTAGTGTTTTATTTTTTAACTATATCATTATAATTATACAATAATTATTTTTTACTTTTTAAATAAATTTTTTTATTTAAAACTTATTACTTTAATTTATCATTTTTCTTAAATTCTCATCCATTTAATTTTAAATTATATTAAAATATTAAAAATAATTTTTTTATTTTTAATTTTATATACTTTTATACATTCACTTCATAAAATAAATTATCAAACTAAAATAATTTTTAACACCTAGTTTGAACTAATAGTTAAACACGATGGAGAATAAAAGGTAATGGTCAATTTTATTCCTACAAACATTGCTTTCACATATATTATATCCATCGATCAATTTTCATTTCCAACACAGGGAATTCATCCAGTAATGAGTTGATATTATTCAAACCTCAGGAATTTTCTCCTGTGATGTGTGGATGAACTTTGGTGTTTGGTTCATTTCTTCTCGGTTAGTGCACCCAACTCATTTCTGAGTTCCGACAATGAGGAACGTTACAATAAATGACCACTAAAATTGAAAAACGCCGCAGAAATCTGAGAGACGAAAGGATTAGAAAAAAGCTGCATCCGTAAAATACTTATGATTATTGATGTATTAAATTTAAGTTTAATAGATTTTTTATTATTTAAATTTAGCCAAAATCCGTATTAAAAGAAATTATTATTATCTGTGGTATAATTCAAAATTTATAATTTCTTTTTGGTGTTTAATAAGGACAAAGTAAATCAATGAACTGTATTTGAAAAGTCGAGAAAAGTTTACTGCTGAGAACCATTTGTGGTTCTATGCATGATGCTTGGTAATGAAACGGCGAGGATGGAGGGTGAGAGTGATTATGGAAATTTTTGGGAAAGTGGTAAGACTGATTAACAGCAAGGATTGTTGCTTTCCTGCAACATAGAATCTTCCTTCATAGATTCAAAATGGATAGAGTAAGATTCTGGATCTTATTATACGATGGCACTCGCAAAGGCAAAGCCCTTCTTCTCGCAAGAGGCCATTCCCTCACAGCTAAGTCAAGGAAACCAGAGTCAATAGCTTCATTTAGGCATGAAAAGCGATCTTTATCTCCCAGCTCAGCGAATTGAATACTAGCTTCTGAGAGAAGTGAAAGGCCAGATACCTGAGAAGAAACTCCCACTCGCTCACCTGCAACGACATGGAAGTCAACAGCAGTCCACAATAGATCGTAATCGCTCGCTCGATCGACCACTCACTAAAAAATCCAATTATGTTTAATAAATATTAATTTGAGACATAAAAAATAACATGTAAATATTTTAAGAGAAAAAAAAGAGATATTAAAGGAGGAATTACTAGCTAATACAGAGGCTTCATTCTCTGCGAGCATGGCAGAGAACCCCTTGAAAGCATGGCTATAATGATGGATTAGAGATATTCTCTCACTTTCATGGCTGCCAAAAGCACGTTAAAATCCAACATGAGATTGGAAGATAAAATAAATGAGGTTACCTGTGGAGGATATTCCGTGGCTACCCTTTCCATCCTGTGTTCGAGATTGGAAGCCAAGATGAGATCCATAAGAAAGGGGGCGAGAGGGAAAGAATCATGGTCTATTTTGATGAATTAAAAATTACTCCAGATAAGATATGATGATGTGGCAATAATCTATTGGTTACTCAAATTACATTATCTTTATTTAACCAATCAGATTTGTCAAATAAAAGAATAAAAAAGAGATAGTAGATAAGATTCAACGCCGGTAAAAAGAGAGTATAGAGAATCAACGGGTGGGCTGAGAAATAAATTTAGAAACATCTGCTTTGATAATTATTAATAATAAAAAGAAGATCCAAAGGTTAAGATGAAATGTGAGTGGCAGAAAGAAAGATGGACGGCCAAAATAGAGCCTGGAGCGGATGAATAGGAAGCTTGGGTCACAGTCCACAGTAAATGAATGGTTGACTTCTGAGTTCTTTTAGTAACTAGTTTAGGATAATTATGCTAAAAGAGTTAAATTGATAAGTTTCTTCACGTAAGGACTTGTTATGTTTTTTTTATGGTTTATTGCATGTTTTCTTTTATATTTTTACCGAAATGTTTAATGCATGGTTAATATATATAATATTTAGTTATTTTCAAAATTGTGGAATTTTTGAATATCATTTGGTATTTATTTAATATATTTAATTACCATTGTTGCTTGTTTATAAATTTAATCATTTAACACTCTGTTTAATTTTTTTAATTTAAAATTTTTATTTTTTTTGTTCATGTATCATTACTCAGCATTCATTTTAAATTTTATAATTTTAAGTGCTTATTTTTTATTTATTTTGGATTTATTTAATATTCTGTTTTATTTTTATTATTAGCATATTTTGTTTATGCAATTTAATTATTTATCCCAATTTTAATCTCTAATTAATCTAAAAACTTTTTGGTATGCTGGTATGTTTGTATATAGACTGTGCCAAGAATCATAATTTTATGAGTTAGTTTTCTATCTATTTAGTATTTATCATCATTATGCCTCATTTTAATTATTACTGTAGACATTTGTGGAATTTAATTATTTTTCCTAGTTTTAAATCTCTTATTAATCTAAAATTTTGGGAGGTATTCTGGTATGTTTGTATATACACTATGTGTCTCAATTCTTATTTATTTAGTATTTATCATTATTCTGTCATTTATTTTAATTATTAATGTATCTCATTTTGGAAGTTTAATTTTAATTCCAGCATCCTTTATTTTTTTAATCTAAAATCATGAGGGTTTGCACCATGTTGATTTTTGATCTGTATATCAATTTTTATAATTTTTGGAATTTATTTGTTAATGTGATACATTTGTTGTTTAATTAATAGGATAAGAGATCGTCAAGTTTTCTAATTTTTAAAGATTGATGATGATCTTTCATCAAATTTTTTATAATAAAGTTTGTCTCGTTAGGAAAATTAGAAAATTCAAATCGACCTAATAAGTCTCTTATTTAATAGAGATGAATGTTATTCTTGACATTTTGGTCAAAAAAAAACAATAAAAAAATAATTTAGTTTAGACTTAGGAAATAATTTAAGAGATGAATTATGAAGAGATATAATTTTAAAATTAAACTAAATGTTATATTTTTTTTGAAAATGATGTTTTTCATGATCGATATCTTTTTAAAAAGTATAACTAATTTCTTATCTTAAAATATTTTAGTCTAATTTTATTTTTTAAGTTTTTAATTTCTTTGAATATTAGGTGACGTTCTAAAAAAATTTTTTAATTCTTTTTTTTATTCATTTTTATTTTTTTGAAAGTCTCCTGGACGGCGGATGTCAAGTTTGTCCATCTGCTTAGGCCGCTTGTTGTTTTTAACTTTGTTAATTTTTTTTCTTTTGGGTGGGACCCACCAGAGCTCGCACCCACCTACTTTGTTTGACACGGATACCATTCTTTCTCATAAAGTCGACAACGCATTTAACATGATTCCTTCGTTTCTAAGCTATATTGGATATTTTTTGCTATTCTGTGGTTGAGTTTCTTTCGATTGTTCCTGTCTTGACCGGAACATATTGATGAGCAGATTAAGGTTCTTTCCATTTCCCTGGATATAAGAGGCTCAGTAAGGGTTCATCTACATCATGGCAGTCTATCAAAACTAATAATATATACTCTGTTTGCTCTCAAGATGGCCGAGGCAGCTGATCCTGCAGAAGTGGAATACGATAAGGTTGGACATGTTCTTGTCAGCTATTTTAGTACCATTATTGATCTGTAGTTCTATTTGTTTGTTTGTTTAGTACCCCTTGGATTAAACATTTCTATAAACAAACTTGGGATCTAGGTTTGCATAATGAAACCAATTCTTTTTTTTTTTTTTTTTTTGAAGAAAAAACATATATCGTCCCACTTTGACTGTCCATGATTTTTTTAAAAGGAAAATATATGCAAGACTACCATTTAAGACTGAAAATGTTGGTGTTAATGATGAGCTAGAATTTTTTTTATGTTTACAGGATAATTGTAGGTGGAGGTTTAAGCCAAGGGGATTGCACATCACATGGAGTAGTGACCGAAGATACTGGAAGATGCCTGAGAAAGGGTACTGAGAATTATCCCTTTAATCAAATTTCAGTACTTTTTTTTTTCTGAAATAAAATTTCAATATTTAGGCTAAGTATTGCAAGTAATCAATGATATAGAAAAAAAAATTCACAAAACAAGAATTTGCTGACATAGAGCACATTTGATGCATAAGTTCTACACATAAATTTCAGGACGGATGGTCCCGCGGAGTTGCTGGATGTATGTTGGCTTGAAATAAACAGCTCGACGCCGGAACCCCTATCCAAAGGGGAGAGGTACGCACTGAGCTTCAAATTATCTTTGCAGGAAGTTCATTCTGGTTGGAAAAACGTTCCTGCTTTCATGCTGGCTAAGGTAGGGAAGAAAGGAATCCCCAACTGGGCAAAAATCAATATAGCAGATATGAACATAGGCAACGTAATGGAAGTTCCTTACGGCAAGCTTCAATTTGAAGTTCCGAAATATGCTGAAGATACCACTCTCTATTTTGGATTATACGAATTGTGGAGTGGAGGATGGAAGAGTGGCTTAAGAATTCACGAAGCTGTAGTTGAAAAGATGCCTGTTCAATCAATCACTCTTGTACATCCTAGATGAGTTATGGCTAATGCAAACTAAATGAGTTTTTCTTTTTCTTTCTTTATTCTGTGAAATATTTTATGTGATATTGCAAGCATTTTTAATTTTATATTTAGCTAGACAATAATTTCAGAATTTTACAACTTAACCTTTAATAAATTTATTTTTTTGATATGTCGTTTGTGCTGAACACATATTAATTTATTAAACTTTGAATTTTAGTTTTAAATAGTTGACATTTTATTTGTATTTTACTATTTGAAACTGATATGTATTTTCACTACAAGATAAAAGCCAATTAGCGAAGGGCAAAACCGTCATTAAATAAAAAAATCGTCATGAAAACGATTTCGCGACTATTTAGCGACCGTCGCTAAAAAGCTCGTCGGTATTGTTTAGCGACGGTGTTGACCATTGCAAAATTATCAACGGTCAAAACGTTGTTAGTCCGTCGCTAAATGTCTATGTAAATAGTTATGAAATTAGCGACGGTCTGTTAAACCCTTGGTATCTTCGTTGCTAAATAGGGACGGATTAGCAACTATTTAGACCGTTGCTAAAAATTGTCTTTAGCGACGTTCTAGACCGTCGTGATTGGAAAAATAATTTTTTTTACAGCTCTAATAAAACGAGGTAAAAGTAACTATTTTAAAATAACAAAATTCTCGTAAAATTAAACGTAAATTTTTATTATTCAAAATGTATTAAAACGTCGTTAAATAAGTAAATTATTGTTAAATAAGAAAAAACAAGTACATCAATTGCAGTTAATACAAGAAAACGAAAAAGCTAAAATAAATTAATGTCCAAGATCGATCGGAGGCTGAGTGGAGTCGTCTCGGAGGATGTGTTGCATCGTCGTCCGGAGGCCGTGTTGCATCGTCGTCGATCTCGGGAACGGCGGATGAACTACCACCACGGTCAAAATGCCGCATGAACATCTCGCTGCATATATGACATCATTGTATATTGCTCGTCGACTATAGGTTCTCGACTTATTTGTCGTATCCAACAACGATGCCACTTGGCCCCGTAGGTCGTTGACGAGCACCCTCTAAGTTATTGATGTGCATCGTGTTTGCGGATGTTTGCTCCTATAATTCCTTCAGTCGTGCCTCGTCACTCGCATTGAATCTGGAAGTAGCGGAAGATGAGCCCGCATTGATCGTAGAATAATAGTGAGATGCATGCGATCCGAGTTCGTACATCCTCTTCCTCCTATTATCTCCTCCACCAACGGCCCTCCGAAAGATGTTATTAATGTCGGGTGCGGTCACTTGAGTCCCTCCCAACTGCTCGGCTAGCAACCTCTTCCTCATTAATTAATCTTTATACGGTCTCCTGTATAATTGTGAAACACATCATATTAAATACGTATGTCAAATAACGTTATTAACTAACGGATATTAAATAATGTTTCAAAGTTATCACTTACTTCAATAACCCTCGATCATTGATTGACGAAGACTAACCGATCATTAACCTTTTTCCGATGAGTCCTCAAGAAAACCTCGTGAGGATCGGGTTCACGACCCAACACATTACACCGAAAACATATATAAATAAATATAAATGTATTAAATATAGCCAAATGTTTAATTAATTATTTTGGGTATTATTTTATAAAAAAATAGAAATAATAAATTAATATATATTTTTTTACCATGCATATGGCGTGCTCTCTATGGCCGATGGATCCCCCCGTATGTCTAGAAGGACCGGCTCCGACTCTACCGGTCTCGCTCCTATGGTTCCGTACTCGTCATCTCGGATCGAGCAACAACCTCGGGTTTCTTCTATTTCGTAGTCCATGCATCTCATATTTCTTGTGAGATATATGCTAGCTTCGGTTTTTTCCTTAGACGACAAAGAAAGTGAGACTATCGCTTCCGTGCGAGACTTTTCCATGCTTTCTTAACTATGCTCGTCGTTCAAATCATCATCCCATTTAAATGATTTCGCAAAGAAAAAAATAATAATAAACATTACTAAATTTATTTTCATATTATTTTTTGCTATTTAATTAAATATTAAATAATATAATTAATCAAATAAAATTTAGAAATTAGAACCTTAAATTCTTTTCGGTAAAAATCTTTTGTCTCTAGATTCATTTTCTTCCACATCCATCCCGAAATATGAACATACTCTTGGAATGTCTTAACGATTGAGTGAGAGCAAACATCGAAGGATACAACCTATAAAAAAATAAACATTAATTAAATTCATAAATAACCGAGTACATAATAACAGTATTAAAAAATATTTCATTAAATTAAGCATAAATCGTACTCATTGCGTCCAACGACAATGACCCGTACTCGATGGTCAACCGCACATGTGATTGGCTTCGAAGCCGATTGACACAGGACATTATGGGGTGGACGGTGTTGAGGAATGGAACCGTTGTCCCGATGTGATGACAAAGGCACCGACGACGACGAAGGAAAAGATGAGTGAGGTTGACGTGGAGGCTCATAATACGAAAATGGTCGAGGCCGAGACATGCCGGGCATGGAACGGGATGTGGAGGGGCCATCGGAAGAGTGGTACGAAGGCATGTCCGTAGGGGATCCATCCGACCGTGAGCGGAATGAGAAGGGTGTCTACGTCCACGATCACCGTCGACCGATCGCATCCGAACCACGACCCTTAGCTCGAGTCGTTATGACCTACATATTAATTATTAAACTCAATAGTTTTTAAATAAAATATTAATTATATAATGCATATATACTTACATATAACATTCAAATTAATATGAACAAATTGATTTATATTTAAACAACAATAAATCAAAAATATTTATTTAATTAAATCTTATCTTTAAAAAGTAAAGTTAACTATGTAGGTAAACATATCAATAAACCTACTTTTTTTCATTTTTGTGACAGAATGTGGACTGGTACCTCGGAGATTTATTAAAATAGTTTGAAAAATTACACTTGGGGGACAAAACCAAACTTATCCCAACATCCTAGGAGGACAAGGTTGCCTAAACCCTTAAATTCGAACTGCAATTACATAAAATCCAAGTGCATAATTTATAAATTGAATAAAAAATACAATATAACATAATCTACTAGGATATATCATATTATCTTTAATCAGTATCATTATCATCATTGTCACATTCTTCATCTAAGTCTTCTTCAACATCGGTTTCTAACTCCGATTCATTCCGAATATCTATTTCACCATCGTCTAATTCTAATAATGCTCCAAGTAGGATCAATCAATGACCGACATTCATCATCATCAACGTGCATGACATTATGTTGGCCTTTTATTTCATTTTCTTGAAAGGGTTCGATATTGGTTTGATCGACGAATGCATACATTTCGGCACATCAACCGTCGGCCTTGGTTTAACCTTATATACCGCTAACCATTCTCGTCGTATGCGTTTACATGTAGGATATGTTACATAATACACTCGTTGCGCTTGTGATCCTAGTATGAAGGGATCGGATCTATTTGAATACCTGCGACTATGAACCTCGACTAGTCCATAATGATCATGAACTCGTGTACCGATTCCGGTGTAGTATCATACCAATCACATTTGAACAAAACGGTTTTCTCGTATTAGTAAGGTTGGATACTCAAGTTCGAGTACATCAATCAACCTACCGTAGTAGTCATTTTCCACCACACCATAGCTAACTTCTTTTACACACACTCCACTACACATTGATGCTCTCTCCAAACCACCAACATCGATATGAAACTTATATCCGTTTATAATGTACCTCGCATACGACTTCGCAGTTCGCAATGGTCCTTTGGCCAAATCTTTAATATAATAATCTATTACAATTTTAGGTTGTGCTCGACTTGCCTATATGTAAGGACCGAGTTACTTATAAGGTAATGTTATAATAAAATTTGATAAAATAAATTTATGAATATTTAATAACAATTTTGACAAGCATCAATACTCATATATCGATGGAACCATGATGCAAATTGATTTTGAAGTCGAAAATCAACCTCGTTTTTCGATACGTCGAGGTCACTTTCATAAAGTTGATCGATAAAATATCTAACGATAAAAATATTGTTATTATATATTTTAAAATTAAATGATAGTTAATGAATAAATATATAGTAACAATATTTGATAGTTATAAAACTTACTCCGTGTAAGGTGTGACCTTATCACAGTTCAATAGAATGTAGGTGTGCGCCGCATTCTTTTCTTCATCCGTCGTGACATGTGATCGTGCTCGACCAAGCAGGTCTACCTTTAGGAATGAATATTGCTAACATGCCTTCAATATCGTCCGTTTCGACTCGACCCAATTTGGTAACGATTTAGCGACGGTTCAAACCATCGCTAACTATGTAATTTATTTACAACGGGTTTTTTTTTATGAAACCATTGGAAAAATATTAAATAATATTTAGCAACAATCATGACCATTGCTAATACCAATTATATCTTTAGGAATGGTTTATCGACGGTATAGACCGTTGCTAAATTTGCAACGGTTTATAATGTATGAAAATTATCGTTAAAACGGTTGACCTTTAAAATTAGCAACGAATTGCAGATCGTCGCTAAAAAACGATCGCAAATTAAAATATTGATAACCGTTTTTTAAATTGTTGCTAAAATCAGTACAATCGTTGCTAATTTTTGTCTTTAGCAACGGTTTTTTTATCTTCGCTAACAAATATTTTTCTTGTAGTGTTTATTACATATTAATTTACTAAACTTAACCTAAGAATTATTTTTTTATTTCAATACATAATATATGTCAATACTAATATGTAGAATCAACTCTATCTCCGATATCTAATCTCTAGTTAAAGACTCAAAATTAATATAGTTTTTAAAAGATAAATTAATCCAAAATTTTCATTATATACTTATTTACACATTACGAGACCTTAAAATAATATGAGGTAAACTTTTTAAATCACTTATAATCTATATAATACTTTCTTGACACTTAATTTTAACTATCAAAACTCTAAGATGGCTAACAATAAGTTAATAACAACTAATGATC